ATTAATAGACTATCACGAAATTTATAAAAAGTGTTTCAAAAAATTCTATTATATTTAGTTATTGTGAAACAAAAAATACACAGTTTTGTTCAGTTTTCAATGCTCTTTCTAATGATATATTTGAAAGTCAAGAACTACGAGAAAATTTCTATTTATTAACTAATTAATTAAAATTATTAATTATTAATATTAAATTATTAAAATAAATAATTAAGAAAAGCCTTCTATACCAAAATGTAGCCCGTTCAATTCAGCATCTAATGATATATTTTAGAAGATATTTTTCTGTTTTCAATAACGATAAAATCGATAAAATACTAAAAGTGTCTTAAACTTTTGACTATAGAAAAAAAATTGTATTTCGCTGTACATTCTCAGCTAACGACCAATTTGATGAAACATAATTGAACCATGTAGACCTCAATCCTGCCTACATATATATATATATAAAGGTATTTATTTTTTCTTACCTTTAAAAAAAATTCAAAAAAATAAAGTGTCTTAAACTTTTGTGGTCCACTTTAGGTATATTAAACATTCAATTGCTTATTCCAATCTCAATAGAAACCAAAATCTTTTTAGAGTTTTTATTAGAATACAATGTAGCATCTATAAGCAAAAAACATTGAAATCAGAAGAAAGTAGTTGAAGAAGTTCTTTGTTTAGCATGATTATAATTTATTTCAATATGAAGTGTCCCTTGTACAAAGCAAAGTCACAGAATTGAAAAACCAGAAACTTGCGCTAAATGATAGATTAAACCTAGAATAAGAAAAACACTTCTTTTTTATACAGAAGATATTATTGAAATCATTATTATTTAAATATTTTTAAAACTCAATGTCATATTGCATGAAAAGAAGAATTATGATATTGTGAAAAATACTGGTAAATTGATGATTTACTAATACCCAATTAAACTTATTTAGCTAGGCTTCATAAAAAACAGATCAGTTCGCACACAAATATTCAACATATTATAGAAAATAATCAAAAAAATACAAACTGGCACATGTTTTTGTTAGTTATTCGGTAATGAAATCAGTTTTTGTTTGTTCTTGAAACGCGTGCAAACATATTTTAGACAGATTTGTTTGATTGAATGCATTTAAACACAATTTGATTAATTTCAGCAACAGAATGCATTTGGAAGTTACCTACTCTATTCATCAAGTCTACAAATGCTGTTTCCCAATATTTATGTTTAATAAAAATTATTCAATCTTATTATCTTCCATATTAAAATCATCATCATCATCTTCATTTTCTTCTCTTTTTGTCGACTTCTATAATTCGTTGCATTCTTAATATGATCTACAGGTTCCTTTGAGCAAGAATTTTCGTTAATAAGTCGTTCCAGCTTCTATGAGAAAGTAGAATTCTTTTTCTGATCGTCTCACATAACAGCCGTTAAGTTCAGCACCATTACTAGCGAACATTTACTTTTTAAGTTAGCCTTCATTTCTGTTATAACCACATGAAGAAAAATGATTAATTAAAGCACTATTGACTGACGATAATTATCATGTATGATTGAAAAAGAAAGATAACCAATATGTCACAGTGATAAAAAAAAATCAAGATACGACAAATGTCACGGGTGAATGAAATAATTCATAATTTCTATTTATTAACAAGTATTTCTTTTCAAAATAGACTTTATTCTAGCGGGTCTTTGTCTCCATATGATCCCATAGTCATCATATATAATAAATATATTTTGTTCCATACAAAAGATAGAAAAAAGCCAAAGACATCGAAACTAAAAAAAAAATCAAAATTTTAACCTGAGTTTTAGACCAAATAACTATCGTTTTTTTTTTTGAAACTCTTATTGAAATATCAGTCGTAATGACTATCAATTAAAAAGAAAAACGAAAATAGGCTAAAACTTGTCAACAAATATCCAATAGTTATTGTATTCATGATACATACATACAATATAATGAGTTTTCTTTAAAATGCCTGTACAAGCATTCGATTGCATGTAAGACAACATCAAACCAAAAAGTGAGATATGAATTATATTCGCATTTAAACCAATCTAGATCAGTAAACAATCATATTTAAATTTACAACATTCAATACCATATTTTATAATGATACTGGCATTATCAAACAGATTTTTCTTCTATTTCTATGCTATTTATCTGGACACAAAAGAATAAAAACCTACAAAATTCTTTATTTTGAAACTAATAATAGTAAATGATGGACATTTTTTTCGTGAAAGTCAAAGAACATCTTATGCTTTCTTAATGTTGATATTCTATTCTTGCATTTGGACATAAATTTGATTTGTTTGTTTTTTTGCCCTTATTGTCACATGTAGTACACACTTCTGATGCATCTGCATGACTAATAATAAACAGCGAAAATCATAAACAGAAAAAATTGGTAATGTACTGTTTAGTCATTGTTTCACAACGGTAATGAGTATGATATACAATATGATGAGTCACTGAATGGTTGGATAAAAGCATCTTTCTCATTAGTCAATATATATTTCCCTTATATTTTTAAAAGCAAATGAATCCTAGATACGACATGCAAATATTTTAGGTTTTCATTTTGTTATAAAGAAGTATTGACTCATTTCAATAGCGACTTCAAGAAAAAATTGATTTTCATTCAACCGGAACGGATACATATTGCACACGTCTTAGTAATGCGCTGTCACAAATTTAAAATATTCATTTCTTTTTTTTTCTCGATATAAACGCGTAGATAAGATAAAAATATATGAATAATCAATGAGTACGCCTAACTTTGCTGAATTTATAGTACCCTTCGATCAAATTCATATTGCTTCTGATACATAAACGCTCACGTAAAGACATAATCAGACCTGTTCGTCTACGCATCTCATTTTATTTTGTTATTTATTCATATAAAAATCGATAAAAGTGTATAAGTATCGAATATTTATCATAACTTGATAGTTATTGTTTCTGGTTTAGACATGATGCATGAGGTATGTATGTTAATACGTTATTTAAACTTGTTTTGTGTTTATTTATATACGTTGCTATTTGCTTATCTTTTCTTAATTGTGTAAAAAGAACTATGCATAGCGATTAATTTTGTTTTCATATTTCGTGTGTCGCGTAGTATAAATGCAATGAGGAAAAAAAATCGTTGAGTGTTTCAGTTGTAAAAGACTAATAAAACAAAACAACTTTTCTACGATTCTTTCTCTTTTTTTGTTTTGATCATCGATAAATAGAATTACGTTTTGATATTTCGGTTATTATTATTATTATCATGTATGAATACAAAGACGTTTTTTCTTAGATATTGATATACTTTTGTTTAAATATTTATTTTACTTTTCAGATATAATAATTCGGTAATTTTCTTTGTTACTCATTACTATAAAAATTTATTATGGGTGAATTTATTGGTAACATTCTTCTGTCAATTTTGGCTATTTTATTGCCACCCGTAGCTGCAATTATTAAAGTATATTTCTTTCAAATAAAAATCTTTCAAAATGAACAAAAATATTTTTCATCAATTTAGGTTGGTTGTACAACACATTTTTGGATTAATTTAGTATTAACTCTTCTTGGATGGCTACCTGGTGTTATTCATGCTTTATGGCTTATCTGGGCTGGTCCATCAGGCATTTAATTATGTATAAATAAAGCATCATAACTAACAAACGTGGATATTTTTTTTCATATTCATTTTAATCTATTGATAATTTAACGATTGAAAAAAACTAATCTTTCTTTTTTTCATTTTTGTTTATTTATTATCTGATTTATAAATTCAGCAAAATCACAAAAAGAATTGTTTATATGTATTGATAGGACAAAGGTGCTGGAAGAGCTTTTTGTGGTTGTTGTGTATAAGGTGGAAATTGCGGTTGTTGTGAGTAGGATGGAAGTTGTGAGTAGGATGGAAGTTGTGGTTGTTGTGAGTAGGATGGAAGTTGTTGTTGTTGTGGATAATATTGATATTGTTGTGGCGGCAATGGGAGTGCTTGTTGCATAGCTGGTTGTGATTGCATTTGCCAATAATGTGGAAACTTAGGTTCATTAGGAGCAATTCCACGTCGCTTAATTTCTTGTTGGTATTGTCCTGTATATGGATCTAGTCGACGTTCAATTATTTCACCGCGATCACCACGAAAATAGCCGAGTTGCATCTTGTCAATACCACGATCTGGATCACGTAATGATTTTTTGCTTTGTCGAATTCCACCTGGTCCTATTCGACGTTCATCATGTGCTTGAACAATATGTGGCCGACCATCAGGTCCACGTGAAATTTGTGTTACATTCATTGAACTTACACCAAATACTTTTGCATAAGGATTAAATGGATCAGAACCCATAAATGCTGATATACCACCAATATCAGGACCAGTTCGTAGAATTTCAGCCATCAATCGATGAGCAAGACCAAAAAAAGAAGAGAACAAATCACCATCGCCACCACCATTATAACCGTTAGGAATAGATCTATTAAATTGTTGATCAACACGAGCTATATTATTTGGATTGTACGGCTGTAAAGGATAAGACATAATGTTCAATATTCTTCTAGAAATAAATTATATAACGTCGATTATGTATATATATATATATATATATATATGCCTCTTTTTTCGTTAAAAAGAAGTAATAAGAGAGTATGATTTATTTTATCATTGAACATGAACAATCTAGAATATTTATTGACACTCGTTGGTCACACTTCAATGATTTTTCTCTTTCTCACTTCTTCACTTCATGTCTTTATTTTACTTTTTTCAATGTCTTTTGTTTCATATTTAACGAAAACGAAAAAAAAAACGATTTGATAAGTGTACACCCATGTCAAGGTTTGAATGTAATGCAAAGGACACTACCGAGATAGATATGCCTTGAACTTATTACCTTGAATAGCGTAATGGACACAATTAAGAAAAAGTTTTGTCTATAAGTTTTTATGAAATAAGAATATGTCTAAATGGTACATTTACATTCAAATATTTCAGATCACTTGAAAAGAGAATTTAGAGATTTTTTTTTTTCAAATGATTATTACCTTAGACCAAAAGATTTCAGATTGAATAAAAAATTGCTTCAAACATTAGACACATCTTTTATTAACTGAATTGATGCTTGAAATATGAAAAATTTATTTTGAATAACTGTTGTTACTGTTTTATTGTACACAACTCACCTTCGATAATAGTGTTACTCATGTATTTAAATTGAACAAAAAAATGGCGATAAACAACCGATAGACCGTCTAGAATAATGTGCGCTATACCGGTGATATTTGTCGTCAATGGTACAAATCGACGTCCATAATGATACATAAGCAGTAGGCTATCCTTAGACTAGTTTCACTAGTAGAGAAATGCTTGTTTCTGATAGGCAGAATTATGCTTACTAAATATTCTGGTTTATAACCACACTAACTTCAAAATCTTTCTGAGCACTTGAATCGTTTCAAATTTCGGTTCGTAACAAATATATGAAAGAATGTTGCTGATCAGTCGTTTTCAGAAGAAAACTTCGTATATTTAGCATGAAAAATACACAAGAAATGTGTCATTGACAAAATGATTGATGTTTTCAGAAAATAATCCTTTATTGCTTTATTCTGTATTCAATGTTTTTGTTTCATAATCAACAAAACAAGCAAACGGATTCATTAGATTGCGTTCATGCCGAGGTTGAAATGAGACACGATAAGCACCAGGAAAACATTCTTTGATATTTTCTTCTTGAATAGCACCTAAAATAAACCAAGAAAAACAATTTATTGTTTAGTTTTGTTTTGAATAATATTAATTTTGATGAATAATTTTATACCTGTGCAAATAATATGTTTACATTGAGATGCAGGTTTCCCAAGAAATTTAACTAGACGAGATACTTTCTCAAAACATTCACGAGAAAGAAATGGTGGATCAATTATTAAAACATCAAATGAATGTTTTAAAGATGCATACTTTTCTTCAATACGATCATCATCATTATAATCATATTCTATAAAAGAATTATGATCAGTAGCAAAGCGAGTATCATATTCAAATAGAATATTATCGATTTCCGGATGTTCCTATTGAAATTTTAACGATTGCAATATATAAATCATTATAAAATGTACTTTACTTTACGTATGAGACTCCACACAGTTGGACAAGCAATACAAGCACATCTAAAAAAACAAATACAGGATACATAAATTTACTCTAATATATAGAAGAGGATTATTTTATTTTTCTTACTTTCCGTTTTGAGGTAAAATGGTTATTACTTCATTCATCAATCGCGTAGCTGTTTCCTTGTTGTACCAAAATTGACTTAGTTGCTAAAATAAACCAAACTATAATCATTTTTCAAATAATTTTCTAAACTCATTGGATTATTTGAAACTATCCAAAGTTTATGATGAACTATGCATGAAAAAAACCTAGATGTGATGCATAATTTAAACAAACATGCAGTCAGTCTAAAGAGTAGTAACCTATAAGATTCATCGTATGATACAGTTTCTAACAAATATTTCAGCTATTATATCGCTGAAATAGAGCTTATTCATTCAACTAATAGAGTCTAAATTCTGACGAGAGTGAGATGGATGATAGATCCGTGTGTATTCTACTTCAAAAATTCAAATATTTGAAGATTATAAATAAAGTGCATCTTCACCGAATGAATTCATCATTGAAAACAAGTCTTGACCGAATGTAATCTATTGAATATATAATATGTTATAACAATTAATTAGTTTATTGCCAAGTCGATTGGTTACTATGTCGAACCTTTTGCCTAGTCAACAACAGATATCATCAGAAGGTTTTAACTGTCTTAGCTTTTATCCAAAATGCTTGTGGCAGTAGCATAATCTCTATATTTCATCGAAGTTTCAATAGTTAGATTCAAACTGACATCCATAACTACACTCCTTTTGATGGTATCTGCTTTTGATCAGGCAACATATCTAATGAACCTCGTAACCAATTGATTTAGTAATAAAATAATCAGTTATAATAATATCTTATATATACAACAAGTCCTATTTGGTCCAGACTTATGCTTAGTTATGAATTCATTTGGCGATATCAGAATCGGCAGAAACAGAAATTACCGATTCTTTTCTTTAATGTCGAGTACCTAACTCAAATTCAGATCGTGAGTTAGATAATCAATAAAGTTCTCTATTAAACTCACTATATATCAAAATTTCATAGTTGTAAGGTGTGGAGAAGTTTTCGGATTTCAGAATACGATGTATGGGTTCGCTCCTAACAGTATCATCTGAAATAGAGCAACATGATGGACAAAATGAGGAGTCAACGCATTTGTTTTTATGATATTCCCTCACAAAGTTACACGCATCATAAAAAAACAAAACAAAATTCATTTTTCAACGTTTGTTTATATAAATTTTGCATTTTTTAATGGTTGTAAGTTTGGAAGGAAAAGTCGTACTAAACGCAGTTACCTTTTGTCTTCTCCATAATTTTGTGTCCTTTCAGATGATACTGTTAAAAGGCAACCTATATAGCGTCGTCTAGAGCCTGAAAACTTTCTTACATAGTCCAATTATGAAACGTTGATGTTATAGTTTATTTAATAGAGAACTCTATTGGTTATCCAAATGAATATTTCGATTTGAATTAAGTACTCGACAGGACACAGAAAAACATCAACAAGACCTTGTTCTTATAATATTCAGTAGTACTGTATATATGATTTTTCTAGAAGAAAATATTTGCTGTACGAAACTATTGATTACAAAAATATTCCGCATATCAATACTAATAGTAAGTGTCTTAGTATTCTCAAGAATCTATTTAGATTTTCACAATAATTATTCATTTGGATTTTTTGTATAATAATATTAAAAGAAAACTTCTCATGCTCATTCAAATGTGAACTACGAAAATATTAGTTTGATTAATTCACTAACCCAATCTTCTTTTGGCTCATTAGTTGCTTTATTTTGCTCTTGTTCTTGTTGCCATTCCTGAAGAACTTTCAATGTTTCAGCTGATAGCTGAGGTGGACCATCATCATCGTCGGTAATCATCGAAAAATAAAAATAAAAGAAACATTCTAGATTTTCTATTTATTTTACAAACGAATGTTAATAGTTTCTAATATTTATTTTTCTTAAAGCTGCAGAAATGAAAATTAACAATACTAAAAAAAAACAAATCATTTTTGTAATGGTTTTTCATTCGCTGATTTTTCATATTTTTCTATCTGTTTTCCATCAATATTAACTTCTTCTTTTTTATCTTCATTAAGTTTTCTGTGTACCCGTTGAGAATTCCAAATAGATGCATAATGACCATTTGGTTTTGCTAATAATTCATCATGCGTACCTTGTTCAATTACTTTACCTTGATCTAAAATAATAATATTGTCACAATCAGTAACTGTACTTAAACGATGTGCAATAACAATGGATGTACGATTTTTTGTTAACTTTCTAAGAGAATTTAAAATAGCCTAAGAAACAAGAGAATAAAACAATAGAAAACGAAAGACCAAAAAAAAAGTAAAACAATATGATATTTACTTGTTCTGTTGTTGTATCCAAATGAGCGGTAGCTTCATCATAAACAAGAATAACTGGATCTTTTAGAAGAGCTCGAGCAATACTTATACGTTGTTTTTCACCACCTAAATCGATTAGAAAATTTATACAAATGATTCTCTCTTTAAAAGAGCTGTTAGCGAAAACCTATGCAAGATTCAAATGTGTTACACGATGTAGTTGCTGCTGCTGAGAATACAGAGATTGTTTTATTCTCTCTATTTTTGGGATACATTTCTTCATCATTCTTTTAGTTAATCCTTGAAAAATGCGATAAGAAACATAGATGACGGAGCCACAAGGCTTGGACAGGCTCGAGTTCAACTAGTAGTGGATAGATAAAAACTTAGATAATTCCCAGACAAGGATCTTAGAAGAAATACTAAGCCTACCCTGATATCAAAAGGGCACAGGAATTTCGACTCGGTATGAAATTCCAGTGAAGTTTCGGTTCAGATCGCGAAAATCATGAAGGACTATCAACTCGTACTGAAACAGACTTCAATAATGCCTCTAAGAAGTCTTATTTCTTTAATTAGTTGTCACATTTAGTAGTGTGGAGCAGGATGACATACTAGTCAGGTTGTAGATGTGAGTGTGAGTTTTCTCTCGATCTGCAGTCATAATCTAGGACCAAGTCCTCACATTCGACACACTCTCATCCACACCTACCTATTCACTCTTCAGTACTATGCCACCTTGCTGAGCAATACATCTGAATGAAAATACATACTACTCAGCACTACGGAGTATAGAAACTAATTAAAGAAATAAGGTTTTTTTAAAGCAGTTAATGAGGTCAATTTAAGCCTGGACCAAAAATGTCTTGGGTCAAATTCCGGCCTTTTGAAATCAAAATTTGCTGCCACCTATAATAAGGAAGTAGTTCAAATATCACAACGAGAGATTATTGATATATGACCTGTGTTCGTATATCAATAATGTCACTCATGTCTATGAGAGTCCGAATTTCTACCCCTATACTTCAACAGTTCTTTTCGATCATGTTTCCCAAAACTGCTAATACCTGATAATTTAAGTCCACGTTCTCCAACAATAGTATCATATTTTTTTGGCATGCGTAAAATAGCATTATGTACTTCAGCAAGTTTAGCTGCTTCATATACATCTTCTTTTGATGCTTTTAAATTTCCATAATTGATATTATAAAAGATACTATCATGAAACAAAATCGAATCCTATATAGAAATAAAATATATTTAAATATTGATAATGGATAATTTTTTTTATAACTAACTTGAGGTATAACTCCAATAGCTTTACGTAAACTTGTAAGAGATACGTCTTGAATATTTTGACCATTAATACGAATGTCTCCGGCTTGTGGATCATAAAATCGATATAAAAGACGAGTAATTGTTGATTTACTATATATATTAAAATATATCTCAAGTTCTTTTGTTTTGTTTATTAAATAATAATCAAAATTTACCCTGAACCCGAACCACCAACAATAGCTACTTTATGTCCTGATGGAACAGTAAATGAAAGTTTTTCAAGAATTTTTTGTCCTTCAACATAACCAAAAGTAACATTATCAAAGACAATTGATGAATTTTCTCCATTTATTTTTATTTCGGTTGCTTTAGCTTTATCCTAAGTCACCAAAATACATCATAAAAAAAAAGAAGATAAAAACGATTTTCAATTTACTGTAACAGCTGCTTCAACCATTGTTAAACGAAACATTGTTTCCATATCAACAACGGATTGTTTAACTTCACGATAAACTGAACCCAAAAAATTTAATGGCAATGACAATTGAAAAACAAGTCCATTTACAGCAACTAAATCACCAACTGTCATTGAACCTTCACTTATACCACCAGCAGCTAATAACATAATACCTGTTAAACCTAAACTAAATATTGCATTTTGACCAAAACTAAATAAAAGTTTTAGATATTAACAATTTTTTTCTTTTTTTTTTTTTCATTCAAAAAGTTAGAAACAAACTTTAACATAGCTAAACTTGTTTGAGTTTTAATTGATGCAGTTTCATATTCAGATAATGTTTTATCATATCGATCAAGTTCATGAGCTTCATTATTAAAATACTAGACAATAATATATCTATACATTAAATAAAGAATTTTTATGAAATTGTCTTTATACTTTGACAGTTTCAAAATTAATAAGTGAATCAATAGCTCGATTGCTTGCTTCATTATCAGCTTTATTCATTTGAACACGAAACTTTGTTCTAAACATAAAACAAATCTATTAAAATTCTATACAATAAGTTATTTATACCTCCATTGAGTAATCCCAAATGTGTACGCAGTATAACCAGCAATACAACCAAAGGCTAGATAAAATCCGAAAAGACTTAAATTTCGCAGATAAAACATATCGGACTAATACTAGGATCACTTCAAATTTTTTTCTCAAGCTCTTGAAACAACTATTGGCTAGTTGATTTCAGTATCGTGTTCAAAGGTATTTCCTTTCATGAACAATTCATTTATATGCATTCGATTAAACCAAGTCATAAAAAACCTTTTTTTAGGTCGGTTTTTGTGAGGCTATTAATGACTTATTTTAACACAGATGATGTTCCAATGGCAATGTTGAACTCTGTTCCATGTAGTCAAAGAAGAAAGAAATTATATTTTGTCGAAAATCTGTTAATATTCTAGATTTTCCGTATCCTTGCATTATCATGGTGTAGATTCAGGTCTTAGATAATAAATCTTTTATTACTCTACTGATATAGTTCGAAAACTGGCGCTAGGCGACTATTAATCGAATAAATTTCATCAAACCATGGGCACGTTTCATTAGTAGGCCGCAGAAAGGTCGAAAAGTACTTCAGATTCTGTCGTTCGAGTTGTAGATATAATGACTCAACGTGTTTTGTTAAATTCACTAGCTTAAAGTCAATAGAAACAACTCACCAATTAGAGCTGAACACGTTAGAAAAATATATGCTTATTCATTTCACGATCACGTGGTCACACAGCTATTGCTGCAGTCGAGAGTGTATCTGTAAAGGCTACTGTGGAGGGTGAGTCTTCTCTTCATTTCCACCCACTTAGAGAAAAAATCACACATGCTTAAAGTTATCGTTTACTAAAAACATCATTTTGTCAATATTTTTCGTTGTCGACACTTTTTTTTTCTTTTAACTTTTCTACGACACATCGTTTCCTTTGTCTGATCTCTTGTTTTGATTATTCATGAATTAGATTGTAACACTTCAACTTTCGACTACTCTATTATGTTTTTATCATTATGATAAAACTATGATCTATCTCTGGTATTAATGTAGGAATAAGAGTTAATAATACACTCATCGAGAATAAACATTTTTAAACCTTTAAACAGACAAGTATAGTAGTTAACATAACTATGATGCTCAAATTGTTCTCTATTCATTCGTATAATCAATTATTGTTGGAACAACATTAAATGTTTCTTTGATTACATGAGCTTGAGAACCATCTACATGGATTTCATCTTCAATACTTAAAAGTAAATTGCTGATATTAATGAAACAAATTGATTAGTATATGATCTGAAAGCGTTAACTTCTCTCATGCTCATACTAAATAGGCACAACTTTCCTACTACAAAAGAAATACAAAAATATAATGAAGCTCAAGACTGTTGTGTCTCAAAATTTTACACATAATTCTAAATATGTCTAACCATTATGTTAGAATAGTTGTACTGAAATTACAGCTTTTGAACAGATCTGGACGAATATACGTTTGGCGTACCCTATGCATATTATACCGTTTGAAAGAAAATTCTCCGAAGCTAATGAATCTTAGGTCATATATGATAATTACCAATAGCTCCATATGACAATCCAAATTTGTACCACTAGAATAAAAATTCGTAAATAAACCAAAGTATATCTCATTAAATATCTTTCTTACCAAAACTCCACTAACAAGTCCAACTTCAAATATAGTTGGTACAATATTAAATACCAATGCAGTTAACACAAAACTTATGCCTCTATGAATAAAATATTTCATACATTTTATTAACTTAAAAATTCTTTGTTTTATGCTTTTTTTTTTTACTTAGTTCCACGATCAATTGCTTTTGATAAAGCACCTGTTTGTCTTCCCAAATGAAAACTTAGATCAAGATTATGTATATGTGAAAAAACTTGTTTTGCTAATTCACGAATACTTCGATGAGCTACATTAGCAAATATAGCATTACGTAATTCGCCAAATAGAGCAGCACCAGCTCTAGCAGCACCATCTAAACAAACATTTATTGTTTTCATTTCATTTAAAAAGTTGAATTAATTAAATTCTACATCCTATCAGTAATGCAGTAACCATCGAAATAATTGCTGATTTTGTTGAATCTACTTGTAATGTTCGACCTTTATTGAGTTCATCAATCAAATATTTAAACATGAATGGAACGCTTATATTCAATAACTAGAAAATATTATTAATTTTAATAGATAAAATATAAAATGAATAATTGCAATTTACTTTAGATATTAATAAAAGTGTTAATGCAATTAATACACGAATTTTAACTTGTTTTCCAGTTTTTGGCCAGATAAAATCGAACATAGCTTTTAGAATATATCGTGTTGAAATACTTCCCGACTGCACATCGACACTAAACGCTTCTTTACTACCATTATGTGCGTGAAATTTACGCTAAATAAAAAATATTTGATTTTCATTCAATTAAATCAAATGAATAAGTACCAAGAAAACTCGAATAATACTTCGAGCTCGACCAAAAAATGAAGATGATGATTGAAAATTTGCCTAATCAATAAATCAAGATTAATATCTCATGGGAATGAAAGAATTAAATTATATATACATGATTATAAGTATGACGAGTTTTCAATAAAATTGATGATTTAAAAAACGTCCTCAATGGACTATTTGTTATAGGTGAAACTCGATATTTATAAGTACACTTGAAAAATGTTGATGAGAAGAGTGTCCGCCGTAAAAGCGGATTCATCTCGAAAGTCGCAAATTAATTCTTTTTGAAACAATCTATAATAGAAATCTCGAATTATTATTATGATTTAGATATTATAAATGACAACTAATTTAACTTTATTGACTGAAGATAATATTCAGATAACGAAAAATACCCATGTACACTACAACGAGAAGATAAATATCGGGCATTGATAACCAGACAAATTTCAATAATTTATTCGACTCTTCATATAAAACCACATAGTTCGAAAAAGAACATAAAAAATCTACTCCCAAAATTACAATTCGGATCTACGTTTCTAATAGAAATCCTTAGAAAAAAATTTTTTTTTTCGACACTTTGTGTATACTTGTGAACTCTGCATGTGTACTTTTTTATCATAAATAGAAGATATCAAAAAGTACAACAATGAAGTATTATTTATCATTTGGTTACCCACAAAGGATACACATACGTAACATTGAATGGCTTAACGTCGTGCACATTTTCGTTTCTTAATCCATAAGTCTCACATCGACCATAACAAAATCGTAAGATGAAGAAATCCTGCTGTTAGGTATTTGTTTGTACGTAAATGTATCAAAAAAAAAATACGCGTCACAAATGATCACATTAATTTTCACGTGACGATAAGGTTTATGACGCATATACGCGTCATGAGCTCACCCAAGATTTAAATAAACTATTTAAAAAAATAGCAAGAGAAATTCTACATTTTCGTTTGACAAACAACCCCTTGTGATAATACAAAATACTGATCAGTGAAAAACACACTTTTTTCGTCTATAATCAAAGAGACATAGCTAGTGCTTTCACGTGATATAAATTCGCACTCACACTCTGTGTTATTTGTGATTGAATTACGTATATGTATGTGTATAGTTTTGAAGAACCTGAAAGTTTGGAGGATAGAAGAAAAAAATAAAGTATTCTAAAAATAATAGAATAAATTATATTTACAGCTTTTTTTTTCTCAAAAATTTATCTACAATCCTGGTAAAAAAAACTTGTATTTCATTTATTAATGTGTGAAACAGTTTGTAAATCTAAAGTAACAGACGTCCTCTAGGTTTTACATCTGACTGGTGGATCTACCATTGGAAATACGCATTATATTTATTTAACATTGAAAAAAACTTTCTTCCGTCCATGAAATATTACATAGAATCTGATTGGTTGTTTCGTATGCCAATAAGAATCCGAGGTCACCATTATCACGTCTTCTTTTTTTTTATTTATTTTCTATTCTTTGCCAATAATAGATTGGTTCATTCAGACGGTGTTTGTTTGTCCTAGTTGCATTCAAATATCTTTTATTCAAGGCTATTATTACATTTATCATTTAGATCAAGTGGTAGTTTTTCTTCAACATAGATCATTCTTCTTAATATCTCTCAATATGTCAATAATCCGTCATAAAGACGGTCATCCAAATGTAAGATTTTTCGAATCAATTGAAACATTAAATCAATTTGATACAATAAGAAAAGCATTGCAAAAAAAAGAATTAAAAAAGATTTTTGGTGATGATCAACATCATTTAACAAAAGATAGTATAGCCCAACTTGTTATACAATTACTTCATTTTCAAGAAGATCATCTTGGAAAACAATCGAATGGTTCAGCACCACTTATACGAATTCCGGTAAAAAGCAAAAAAAAAAAAATAAAACTTACAAATTTATATCTTTTTTTTTTTTAATTATAGATGGAATGTTTTTTGGATTTTCGTGAATCCGGTGCACTCTATACAATTATTCTTAGTTGCTATGAATATAAAAATAATAATAATTGGTAAAAAAATAAAAACACAATATTTATTAGCATTATAAAAAGCTTTTTTCTTTTTATAGGAAAAAGCTTGATTTATCAACACATAATCGTAATGAAGTAATAAAATTATTTCAATATATACAAAAATCATTAATTGAACGCAATGTATTAACATTACCAATATGTTATCTACGTTCGGATATTGATAAACGTTTACAAACACAATTAAAACAAATTATTGAAAGAAATAATGGAACTGTTGCAGAAAAAGAAGAAGATGCTGATCATATTGTTTATCCACCAATAACTGAAAATTCACGAGAAATTGAAATTGAACGTGAAAGTAAAAACAAAAATAATTCATTAAATAAATTTTAATTAATTTTCTATCAATAATAGATGAAATTGTTCGTGTAGTAGAAAAACGTGGAAAAGATTGTCGTTTACATTATTGGTTTTATCCAGATTCATTTGATATTTGGGTATCAAATATAGATGCTGAAGAATCAGAAAAACGAGATGAAACATTTCAAGGTATTTGGCATGTTGCTGCTAATTGGATTTTAGATACAGCAGAATTTAATGAATGGATGAATGAAGAAGATTATGAAATTGATGAAGATTTAGTATGTATTTGAGAAGTTTAAGCAAAAAATGAATTGTTTTTATCATTTTTAGGGAAGAGATCAAGGAAGAATTAAACTTAAAAATTGTATATCAGGAAGAAAAACATTATCTATGGTAAGAATGAAATTCGTTCGAAAATTTAAATGTTCTTTAATCATAGAACTTTCATTACTATTCTATATATCATATCATAGTCTATTTTCAAATTTTCATCAAAATTGAATTTTGCGGAAATTCCTTTTGTATGGAATTAGAATAATAAAATTGTTTTGATCTTTTTTTCGGATACGATGTCTGTTGAACTTTATTGTATAAATATGAAAATTATTTGAGAATTCTTTTCAGTGCTGATCATCATTCTATGTGACTGTAAATAGCTAATGCCGGTAAATGATAAAAGTTTTTTCATTGTTTCTCTTTGTTAATGTGTATTGAAAATAGGTGTCTGGTTTTCATGATCATCGAACTTTTGTATATTTGTAATGAAAGAAAATGTGATAGTGTGGGATGAGTCCATATTCATGAGGGAACCACATGAACTCATACTCACGATTTGAGCTGACAATGAGACGGAAAAGGTGTCTTCGTAAGCGTAGCATATGCTTAAACATGTTCGTCTCTATAACCGAGTTTTGATCGTTTCACTGAATTTTCAAGGTAGCTTTAAATATATACAGGAAAATTAACTAATGTTATTCTGACATAAAATTTTGCCTATACGGTAGATCAAATGAACCATATAATTTCTTGAAAGATTCAGTCAAAAACAATGTTAGTTTATTGAGATATCGAATTTCCACAAAATATTTGCATTTTCCTCAAGCATGATACAAAAATCAAGTTTACTCGAAAATTTGATGTTTTGGCAAAAAAAAAACCTTCACAATATTCTATAATTCAGTTGATCTATCTATGAGAAAAACTTCAGGTGAAAAATTCAGTAAAATGATTCTGAATCAGTCTCAAAGACTTATATAGGCGAATTTTTGTAAACTTTGCTTATTTCACTAAGACGTCCTTTTATAGGTCCAACATGCTGTCAATCGGGAGACATCAGTTCGGGTAGTTTCCTGCTCAGTGTTTTATACGTTTAATCTTGAATTGATAACTTAGATACATTTTTTCCATCGAATTTGACTCTATGAATAAAACATCTGAGAGTATAGAATACTAAAATCTTTTCAAGATAAACAATTTTCAATGAGTTGTTCGTTGTTTCCATTATCTTGTTTTTTTTTTGCTTTCATTTGACATCATATAGAAAAGAGGAGAACGAAGGAAAAAAAAACTCATCGTTCAGTTGAAACTAACATTGCTGTCATATAAGCAATGCATCGTTCTCTTCCTCTTCTCCGGCGATAACCGACGGAGGAAATCGGTCTTCGTCATCTTCGCCATTTTTCTTCCTTCGTCCTTTTCTCCCATCTAAATAATTCTCATACGTAGACACGTACACCAAAAAACAAGAGCGACGATAGGAGTACCACTAGCAAACATACTATCGGATAATTGAAACTTGCGTTCTTAGTTTTTTTTTTGCTTGCTTTTGCCATTGAAGAGAGATTTAACATCATAGAAGACATGGTAATGATCTATTTTGTTATTAGTAATCATAAAAGAAGAAAAAAGAAAATATTTTATTGATTGAATATTATATTCTTTAGCTTGTTCCTGATCGTAAAACTGAATCAAATGCAACGACAGTATCTAGTGGAACAAAAAATAATTCTAAAAAACGTTCGTCAACAAATACAACATCTAAACAACGAAAGTAAATATAAAAAGAAAAAATTTTTTTTTTAAATAAAATTCAATGATTGTGTTTTCTTCTTAAAGAAAAAAAATGTGTCCTGGAATTGATCTAGATGAAAATGAACTATCTAAAGATGGAGACAATTCTCTATCACAATCAATTTTTGATGATCAAACATCATCAAGAACACGTAAGAAGTTTTTTTTCACAATTCACGAAAAAAAAAAAAAAGAAAAACACAAATTTAACATATATTGTAGCAATAGCTGGTCAAAAAACGAATGATTCTCAATTACCACGTGGTGGAACATTAAATGATTTAAATGATGACGGTGATGATATTGATGATCAACAAATTCAAGGTGATTCAAATCAAATAAAAAAATTTAATGATCCTGAAGCATGTGAACAAACACATCATATTATAATTCCAAGTTATTCAGCATGGTTTGA